AGAGAAAGTTACATATGGGGAAAATCCCAGAACATAGAGAATAACGCACAAAAGTATATATATGTATTTTATAAGAAGAATAGGAGAAGTGATGATATGATCTAACCGAAGGTGAAGATCATAACACACATCATTCGATATTTTGAAAAGACAGGTCCTTGAAGTTTTTTGAATTTTTTTCATTAAAAAACTGAACTGGGAAGACTGAAAATTAGATACCCTTGATCAAGGTGCAACGAATGATGCACGATTAAGCCAAAAATAAAGTGATGCTTCCCAAGCAAAAAATCGTACATGAAAATATCTAGATATTTTTTCGTTGTATTGGGCAATACTACTATGAAATATCTAGGTATAGGTGTCAGTTTTATTCGGTTATCTAGATATATTGGGCATGGTATCTAGTGCATCCCGATATTGTCTCAGTATATTCGGATGCAAAAAAAGACTGGTGTAGGGGGCTACAGCGCCCGTTATATTCATCTGTTACAGACCAATATATTGACTTATGTATCGATAGCATGGATGAAGGGCGTTCCATTCCTACAGGTCGATATCATATCGACCTATGGATCTCCCAAGCGAATAAAAAATATTGAGTATGGGGCAATCCTATCTAGGTAATCCCAATACATTAGTCAATATACCTAGATAACCCAATACCATACCTAATATATCTGGCTTGCCTAATACATTACTCGATATATCGGCGGTCGGATTATTCATCTTTTTGTTTTGCAGCCACAGCACCTATATATGTAACACATATACTCCATAAATTTACAAAGTTAATATTCATATCAAGTCAATATATTGAGCAATAATAGACCAATATATTACAGAAAGCAGGATGTCTTCATACGGACATCTCAGGGTGCAATATCGACAACATCCTTCATACTGTCAATACATAAGTCAATATATTGGTCTGTAACACACCAATATATCGGCCACTGCAGCTCCCGACGCCAACCTTTTTTTGCATCCCAATATTTTGAGACGATATCGGGATGCACTAGATATCATCCCCAATATATCTAGATAACTTCATAGTAGGATTGCCCAATGTCACAACAAAATATCTAGATCTAACATCCAGATATATCGGATAAAATATAGAGTTATCTACGTATATTGACTACTGTATTGGATTAGCTAACTTGGATTGCCTAATACTCAATACTTCCCTTTTACTTCTATCTAGGTATATTGGGTATTGGATTGGGTTATCTAGGTAGGATTGCCCAATACTCGATACTTTTTATTCGCCTGGATTAAACTTTGATTTTTGAGCGTCTTACTTCGATGCCAAATGAAATAAAACTATTACATAAGAGTTCACAGCGAACTTATGTTCTGCATGTCATGTCGAATAGACAAACAAATTTCGAGAATGCAGCAGTATCTGTTTTTATCGGACAATTCATTAATTTTAGCCTTCTAAACTTCTAACAAATGTGGGCTTTTTTGCATTTGTATGTCCTCGTATTTTTCTCTTTCTAATGTGCGCCTAATGCAAACTTGCAGTAAATTTGTCTTCCAACTTATTATATATCGTTGGACAGAGTGCACCGGGCTGATTAAGAAAACGTATATTTTAATTTTTTCCAAACATCTTTTTCATGGTAAAAAATTTAAAAAACCTGAAGGACGTAAAAACCCGACAAATCTTTTAGTATCTCGGTTCTAGATTGTTTTAAAGCTTCAAACAATTCCTTTCAGGTTCAGCATTAAAAACTGTAATAAAAGAAGAATACAGTTCAAATCGAAAAAAGTACAAAATTTAAAAGTTTTCGTTTTTACGTCTCTTGTATAGTTTGCATAGTTTTCTTGATTGAAGTTCTGAAATCAAAGTTTAAGTATGGTTTTGTAGAGTATTTCACGGCGCATCTTTTAAAGAAAACACTAACCTTATAGTCCTAAGGAAACACGCGAAAAATAGAGAATATTGAGACAGTCGCTAACAGCAAACTGCAAGACCTATCAACAGCAGCAATGAAAGAATAAGCTCATGTCAACACGCGCTTCATCCTTATAATCAGACTTTTAAGACGTTGTATACAGCTATTTTCCTGATGCAGTCCTAGGAATCTCGAGTACTACTTCTTTTACAGTCCCATTATTAATTACTTTAATTTTAGGAGTTTACTTTTCAATAATTCAGATAAGAGAAGAGAGAGAGCTTCATTGAATTTTATAACAAGAGTTTATGAGAACATTTTCTTTTAGCTACTGATTTTCATGGATTTCATGTTTCATTAGGATGCTTAATACTTATTGTTAGATTAATTCGAATGATCTTTCTATTAATAGAAGCCTGAGTTCATTACGGATTTGAGTTTTCATCTTGATAATGACATTTTGAGTGTGAACTTGATTCTTATAATGCTAGGCTGATTCCTATTTCTTTACGATTTTCCATTTTTTTGCATTTTACTTTTAATTTTAGATTTAAAGTTAATTTTATAAAAGTCTTTGATATAGCTACCAATATTATAAGATATATAATATATATATATAATATTATCAATATTAGCTTATAGACGAAAAAACAACAACATTTACGCTGAAAAAACGATAGTATATTTTCGATTTTAAACTAATACAATAATATCTATTCCTTGGAAGCTTCGCTGAGAAAACATGGCGAGCTGCTCATATTGTACTTTATTTGAGAATAGCCTAACGATAGAAACATCAAAGAGCAATGGTTTTACTTGATAAAATCTTCAACTCTAAAAACACTTATCTGTATGCAATGAAATACTTCCTCAAAACAAATGTTAAAAATGAACAAAAAATTATTTGGCGTGTTCCATTTGTTTTCTCTCACGTAGCTAAGCTGCTCATCACGTTTGCTTTAGTGAAGTCATTGTGGTCTTTTTCTATGAGAAAATCAGTGATAATGCTTGACTAATTTTATTTATAGAATTTGAATTCCTTATTTCTTTTCATAGCACGTCTATCAACACAAAGCAGCATCTTATATACAGTCCGCTCGTTTATCTTTTAATCTGTAATAACCTAATATTTGTCTGTATCAGCTGTCGTTGAATTTGTATTACTAACAAACGTTTGATATTTACTATAACTAACACTGTGTCCAATAATTTGTCCACTTTGTATATCAGTCATATTAACTTCTTTATGTAATAACTTTTCATTATTTCTCATAACTTCTTTAACACACGTCGTTGTTTGATAGCGGCCATTTGCCGATGTGGTTGAATTACATTTCGGTTCAATTTGATGCAAATCTTGACTATCCTGGTTAGTGAAACCATCATTTGTATTCTGTTGAAATTGGTGTGTTAGCCGTTGAAACATGTCATCAAATTGTTTTCCCATTTGAGCAAAGATACTCGGAAAATAATCACCAGAAGTCACAGATGTAATGCTATTACGGGCATTTGCGTTGAATATCGATGGAAATGAAAAGGATGGACTACTACCGGACCAGAAAGAACCACCATCATGATTACTGTTTGACCATGGATGATGAAGCCAACCTTGTACGGCCGAAGCAAGTAGAACAACGAGAATTATACGAAGCATTTTTATTTGTGATGTAAGTATTTAATACTGTTTTGAGTAAGAAATGAGATGCTCGCTTTTTTATATTGTTATAAGAAGAAAGACCTAGAAAATAGGAGAAGTGCAAAAAGCACTTGTTTCTCTCACGTTATCTCCTTCTCTACCAATTATGTATTAATCATCGAATGTGTGAGAAAAAGAAAGAAATGGTACGCTGTAGTGGTACTGCTTGAATTTGATATCATATTCTTTCCCTTCTTTTCTTTTAAATGATATATATTCTACACGTGATATACATACACTTTGTATGGACTAAAATGTAGGCTAGTCTTATAAATCTTTCTCTATTAGAAGAACAAATTGCCGTATTGGTATAGGGAATTATCAATGTAGAAAAAGAAAGAAATTATCTTTTCGTCTTAAGGAGGGGCGGGGTCTGCCTACTTAGGTTTTGCTCAAAATCTTTTGCAGGGAGAATACTTTGAAATTTATATCGTGAAAGTTTAGCTCGTTTATCTTTTAATCTGTAATAACCTAATATTTGTCTGTATCAGCTGTCGTTGAATTTGTATTACTAACAAACGTTTGATATTTACTATAACTAACACTGTGTCCAATAATTTGTCCACTTTG